TTAAAAATAAAACTGGAAAATGGTGGTAATGATATTGGTAGTTTTACATCTAATTGGATACGCTGTATGCACTAGATGGGATCTTACGCGTAAAATCTAGAGCTACGGTAGTATTGTGTGTTAAGACCGCTGTAACATAAATAATTTACTTTTTAAGATGGGAATGGTAGAAGTGATATTATTGTGCAAATACTCGTCAAGTGTAGCAGGCAATATTATTTACAGGCTGTTTTCCAGAGACCGTCTCGGCTTGCCATGCACCATTAACACATATGGCGAGTTCGACTTCTTCCAGATCGTGCTCTCTTATTTCACCATTGTTATCCTCAATGCCAATACAACTAGCACCCTCTGGGCAGCTTAGCTCAGCAACTGAGCACTCATTCACAATTCTTATTATCGCTTCAATGGGTACGCATTCTTTCGGCTTACACATGCTGACATTGGATCGCGGTGGCTCTCGACAGTGTTGACATTCTGTAATTTTATGCATCTTTAACATATACAACTTCTGGAAACTTACGATTTCAAAGGAAAATTGGAAGAACTTCTTACCAGGTAAATTTCTTAGTCCGTCATCAGTTGTCGTGGTTGGAGGTGCCTTTGTGATCAATTTTCGAGTTGCTCCCATTCTTCCAGTTTTAAGTTTTGAGTGTACAGTTGTTCCTATAAAGATGAAAAATAGCAAGGGTGAATGTTCAGCTATCCTTGCTCAGAAATAATGGAGTATTCGAAGAAGAACAGTAAAGGAACAGAATAGCAAATTATATTGCTCCATGAACAATTTTGTAATAATATGGGTAAGCCTTGAAATATACCTTTCAACTCTTGCAAAACTATCCTTTTGTTATGCTGCTCGTATTTCTTACTTGGAGTTAAAATCAACTTGGAGGGCTGACCTGTAATAAGAAGCTCATCAATTCATCAAGAATAGTAACATTACCTTCTAACCTCACCTTCCAGCATTTGCGGAATTTTTCTGGTGTTATCCTCTCCGTAGTTCTTACCTTTGGAGATTGAATCCCACTGAGAAGGCTGACCTGAACGAAAGAATCATCAAGCCTTTGCTCCTAATAGAACTTACTTTGTGAATACCTTCCATTTCCTGTAAGACTCCTGTTGTGTGATGTCCGTGGATCCTCGTCCTTGTGTTTGATTTCCATTGAGCAGTTTGTCCAGGATGGCATGTTAGTGAAATAAGAGGTAGCGCCAGAAGCAAAGATATGA